CCGATAAATGTTTTGAAAAATGTATTTTTTTTTTTAAAAAAAAAATAGAAAATGTGCATATATATATTTTTTAAATTTAAGATTTCGTTGTAAACTTGTGGTAGCGTTAAAAAAAAAAAATTAAAAAGGTGTGAGCCGGCAAGCTCGGCTCGCCGAGCCGCTAGCCTTGGGCGAGCTCGGGCATGAGCCGAGCTCACCCAAATGGCAACGAGCCGATGAGCCACGAGCTCGGCTCGTGCGAGCAAATGGGCCTAGCCAGCTCGGCTCAACTCATTGACACCACTATCACCATGGCTACATAGCGGTTCTCATTCTCACTTTGGCATTTTCTCTTCTTTTAGTTATTATTATTATTCTCTATACTACATCATAGTCAAGACTGCTCTAGAATGAAGCAACTAGAAAGATAAGGAAGCGGCATATGCACAAATGGAAGATGCAAGAGCAGACTTTGAATTTCATTCGAATATTGTGGAAGATACAAGAGTAGATATCGTAACGATGAATTTTCTCTTGCAGCCTTTATCTCACACAGTGTGAACTATATCAAGACTATTCAAATCGTTTAATTCACACAAAAGGCTTACTTGTTACAATCATCAAGCCGTGACACACCTTCACTTGTCAACTTATTGACAAATTAATTAAAGAGCAACATTCGTCATCTTGAGACAAAAATGTTGACTACTTCCAACGTTGATTATTTAAAAAAAGAAAGAAGAAAAGAAAAGAAACGAAATAATCCTTAAAGATCATCAAGAATTTGGAGCTAAACCAAGGTTTCAAAACCTGGGATCCCATTAGAGATAGAATCAAGAATGATTATATATTGATGTTATCGTAACAAGAAAATAAACTTTATTGATGGATTGCATCATTTATCCACATTGTCATGCACTATAATACATCCCAGCAATACATTTCCATCCCAGCAAGATTTCAATAATATTTCTACGATAAGTCAAAATTTGAATATACCAAACAAAGAAACATGTATGGTGCTACCTTCATATGAATTTTTACGTACATTCCATTTACAGATTGCCCAAAACCGGGATAACTTGTGGTTACTGACATAGACCTAGTCCCCTCAGGATAATCAGATAGAGAGGCTTCATCTTTCATTGGTGAACTTCTTTAACATCTTAAAGAAGATAGCGATACCCAATTGCCAGAAGTACAAAAACCACCAAAAGCAGCCCATACCCAATAGTTTGAGAACAACTTTCTGAAGTGAATCTGGACATTTTGGTCGTGTTCTATGCCTGATGGTATTTTCTTTCCTATCCTCGTTCTTTAGTGGAACCAGAGTTTCAACTTTTTCCTCGATGTTTTCTTGTTCAGCAACCGCTGCCACTGCTTCAGTTGATTCCTCAGAATCATGAGCGGCAACAGCAGTTCTGGCCTTATTTTTCACTCTATTTTCACGCTCCTGAAACAAGTAAATAGCAAGAACAGTGTAAGTCTAAATCTAATAAAAAAATTCAAGCTAGAAATAGAAAAAAAATTCGGAAAAATGATTTCCTTGAGCTTCTTTTCAGCATCTCTCTGAGCTTTCATTGCTGCTTTTGCGGCCAACTTCTTCCTTTCCAATGTAATTTTCTTCTTAGCTATCTCTTCCTCTCTCCTTATCTCCTTCATCTCATCTAATCCCTTCATCTTAGGAGGAGAATCCTATTGCAGTTTTTGTCTTCCCAGTCAATTCTCTCTATGGTACTTTCAGTACTGCCACCGGGGGAACTGTATCCTCCTTGGGAAACTGTTCACATTTGTTTTCACAACTAACTCAGTTTGTGAAGGGGTTGGTGCATCTAACGACACCAGTGGCTTTTCATCAGGATTCCATATACGTCCATCCCTACTCAGCTGTCGAATGTCATATGATGGCAGTGTTCTCCTCTCGTAGTCATCCCTGAAAGCCTTATTAGTGCTCCAGAGGGACATGAACTTCTCAACCTTGATAAAAAAATTATGCTAATTGTCAAAAAATAGAATGAAGCTATCATAGTGATTCAAAACTCAATACAACAAATTATCCACCATACCTCTGTCTCTGAAAGTTCCTTCAAAGCTTCAACATCCTTCTTTGCTGCTAGTTCTTTGGCTTTGATCAAAAGTGTACGGTTTTGGTAATAAGACGAATTCTGCAAGTTAAAAGACTGAATTTTTACTGATTTTAAGTATAAATTCACATTTTCCCTCATCAGCTTAAATAGCAAATGACGGATAACTTGAAGTTTTTGAAATCAAAGAAGAATTTCAGATTATTCTGGAGGGAAAAAAAAAGAACGAAGAACAATATCAGGCAGTATCAAGACAACAAGATACAATTTACAACTAAAACTATCATAAATGTCCCCTGCAAAATTTTCCTACTTTGAATTTGAACTGAGTTTTCACACAAACTCTCACTCCCCGCAAGTCTTAGTGACTTAGTGTCTTACAGACAGAGAATAAATTCTGCAATAAATGTTTAGTTCATATAGAAAATTAAACAACGTGCAGATTACTAATGAATGACGAGAAGTTATTCTGCCGTGGTAATACCTTACTAAATCAGTGTATAGCTAACTTGGAATGATGTATCCGATCACTTGGCAACATTACATGATATATGAGTCATGTCATAAGTTGCACTTCACCTGAAAGTGGATGACAATTCTGGCCATTCGAATTTCTTTTTCCAATCAAAACAGAGAATGACGCAAGATAGCATCTGACTGGTATTCGAGGACCTCCATGATCTAAGTGAGACTTAGGAGACCTTAAAGACTTCAAGTCTGTTCCATTTGTCCGCATTAAGACCCAGAACAATTTCTGGTATTACCAATCAATTTATATATAATTTGGAAGTATAAAATATCAACTAAAAGAAATTTTTTTTTACGATATTGTAATGGTATTGTTGTATGCTATTATGCTTTCAACCAATACATATCAAGTTTTAAATATTTTCACTCAAATTAAAATGAGGGAATTATTATCATAACCAAACATGAAAAAACACACTTTCTTCACGCTGTTTCCTCATTTCCTGAATGTTCGCAAAAGTTTTATCCCGCTCCTCTGCAACTGATGTCAACTCCTCCTGCAAAGCATTGATCTCTTTCTCTTGAGACTCCTTTTCTTCATCAAGTTGCTTAAGCTTGGCCTTAACCACTTGCTGTTCTTTCCAAACTCCATCAAGATCAACGCCTATAAGCTACAATCATAAATCTACAAGAATATAGTTGTAGTAAATACATGCTAAAAAACAGTGAGTAATTCTGTAGAAAAAAAATACGAGGCACCAAAAGGTAGAGGTTTTACATAAATAGCATCTTATTTTGACCTGGTCCTGAATGACCTCCTTTTCACCCAATGAGTCCTGTATCTTAGCCATCTCAGCAGCATTTGCAATGACCTTTCCCCGTGTCCCTTCAAGTACTTTAATTTCTCTGAGGATTTGTTTCTCTTCATTTAGAGGAATGCTTTCATGTTGAATGTGGTATTGCAAACTTTTGATCTAATTAATAAAAAAATGTCTTTTCATAGAACATTAGCGACATAAGAAATAAACACTTTCAGAGTAAAAAGAAGCTACAAAGCTTACAAGATTATTGAGCTCCTCTCGGATGAACATACAGCGGAACCCCTCTCTCTACTACCACTATTAGCACCACGCAATTTTCCAAGAGCTTGCTGCAGAGGTTCCATTTCTTTCCTTTTCTCATCCATGATCATCCTAAACTGTTTATTATCAACACCTAGAGACTTTAATTGAGCAATTACCTGCGCCCAATCTGCCTGTACATTCTCTTGTATCATTTGGTTCACTTATAAAATCGATGATTTCATAAAAAAGATAGTATAAAATAACACAGTAACAATGCAGGATCAAACGAAACAAATGCAGGTTACATTAAATCGACATAAGAGTAACAAATTTTCTACAATTGACCAAGGACAGACAGCAAAGCTGCAAACTTGCATGACTTACGAACATACCATGAGGCGAAAGAAAAAGAAAAATAAAAGGTCTTCATTTAATCTCAGTATTCATGTAAATGATGGCTTACGTATAACTTCATGGAGAAAAAAAAAAGAAATAAAATAAATAAACAATAATAGACTAATCAACAACGAACCACTTCGAGTGAAGTCTGACAACATTAAACAACAGTAACCCCTACCATAACAGGCAACAGCTCAATTGCTCGTGTATCTTTACATTAATGCAACATTCACAATTTATATGGTTATATTATTTGTCAATTTCAAAGTAAACTAGGCCAAGATATGTTGTGTAAAACAGTTATCCAACCAATCTTATTTAGCATCATTAAGAAAATCCTCCTCAATTAATCTCGGAACCCTGCAAATCCAAAGATCATAAATAATGCATATACATTTACGTCATTGAACAATAGCTTTACCAATATTTTAATGAATTTCAGAGTTACCCTTATGGATTGTTTAAGTAGATCCTGTTCCATATTACAATGAAAAGTTACACATAAACTTTAAATGCACAGTTTGCATGTATTAGCATTATTACATAGAAGTATACTCGAAGTTACTCTTTAAGAGTTTATTGTCTAACTATGAAAATTGTACACGTGTCATCACACACGATCACAAGTCAACTATGATTACCAAGAGAGGCCAAAAAGGCAAAAAACTGAGTCGTACTTACAAGGAAAAGAGTACTCTGTAGTCTACCCTTGTTGCCTTTAACTTTTCGGTAATCTGAAATTGTGCCTGATTCTTATTCTTTAGCTCTTTGTCCGCCAGATCCAATTTCACCTTTAGCTTCAGGTCTTCAAGTGAATGATATTTTACAATATAGTAAGAATGAATCTGCTGGGGCGCTGGCCACTCGTCAGCAGCATCCTTAGGGATAATGGCCTCAAAAGCTTTACCTGCTTCCCCTTTGGCTTGCTCATCCACGCCATGAGAGCCAAATTTTATGCTCACTTTTACATTTTCTATAGAGAAATTCTCTTCATTTTTTATTTCCATGGAAGCAGCCAAGTTTAAAATGAAACGCAAGACGTGCCTTACAAAATCTCAGACCCTGAACAAGAAGTAAATGGAGTACACATCAGTTGACGAAATCATCCGTACATTAACAACAAAATCATTGATGCAGAATAAAACCATATTGGTTCACGAAATCAATTCAAATAAACTGGTATAGTTTCAGTGCAATCAACTTATCCATCAATCTATCTCATTTAGCAGTTAAATAAAGCCTGTCAAACTTTAGACTTTTTCTAATTTTCGTGAACAAATCTGTGAATCGGGAAGCATAACAACAAAATCAATGCTACCAATTACCAAACTATTACACAAAATTGGCTTGGCTCGAACTTAAAAAGTCTCAGATGTCATCAACATAAATACAAAGAAGTGAATTCGTCGAAGATTTGAAATTTGGCAACAGACAACAGATGCCATATCACAAAAGTTCAAGAATTAAAGAAATCCTCGAATTATATTAGAATATTCATTTTCCAGATATAGATAACACATGCAAATGCAATAGACTCACAACCGGAAATTTAAAGCATTCAGAGAAATAAAATCCATGCATAAAAAACCAATCTAAAACACAAACAAAGACAAAATATTTTCCTACTATCTTAAAAGAGGCCATCTACCATTTACTGTTCATTTGGGAAAATTTTTTTATCCCCATTTTATCCATACCTGTCTACTACCCATCCACGCATATTCAAAACAAAAGGGTAGTATGGACTTCTTCTTACTTGCCATTGTTGACTGGGGAAAGACGAAGGGAAGCAACCACACTATTATTGTTGACTGGGGAAAGATAAAAAAGGAAGCAACCAATCGTAGATTATTGTTAGCATTAAAAATAAAAAAAGTGTCCGAGACCGCTCGACTCCGCAGTGTTGAACACTCCGCGCTTCAATTGACTTCTCTTTTCTCTCCACAAAGGAACCCCCAAAGAAACGCAGAAGATTGAGATTTAGCCCCTGTTTGCCAACCATTATTTAATCCTCAAAACTTCGTTCTTCTATATCTTTCTTCCAGTTCCTTCAGCCCTAGTACTTCTATGTTCGATCTTTGTCTTTTTTGTTTTAGCTCGAAGTTTTGTGAAACGTTCTCAAAAAGACCAAAAATCTGTAGTGGCATCATCAAGTGGCAGCACGAGCTCCCTCAGGTAAGATTCTATTTTGTTTGGTGTTGAGATCTCATTTATTGCATTTTTTTTCGAAGGGATTTTAAAAGTTCTTCGAATTATTTTTTGATCTTGCAGAGAAATCGTCAAACAGTAACAAATTCATACTATCTTTCTGTTTTTGGATTTTATGTGATTCTTTCTTTTGATAAAAAAATCTTTATCTTTAAAGTTCCATATGTTTTATGTATTTCATTTCGGCGATTAATTATTGTACTTGATATTTATTTTTTGACAAAATTAGGCGATAATGTTCTGCATAGATAATTATGAGGTTCCCCATCTAGGAGTGGGAGGTAATTTGGTCATGGCCTTGGTCATTCCTCCCTTGGCTGCGGAACAGTGACTACTTCCCCAATCGATTCCAAGCTGAAGCTGTTAATCTCATATGTGGCTCAAAAACCCAGGTATTTTCTATTTTTTTTCCCTTTGCGCACTTTTTTCCCATTGTTCATGATGGTTATTAGGATTTCTTCATTGTTGTGGTGTATAATTTTAGTTCATGTTAGCCTTGAGGGGTTACTCAATTGGTTAGACCTTGAGTTTGCTCTCCAATGGTTACCAATTCGAGTCTATCAGGCCACTGAGGTGAGTAACTTTAGGGCCACGTGGGATTAATCGAGATGCTCGCAAGCTGACCGAACATCCAAGATTATAAAAAAATAATAATAAATTTATTTCATGTTAATTTGTATTCTTCTTAGCCAATAATGCTTAAGGTTTCTTTGAATCATATGATTTTTATTCAAATTCCAGCTAACAACAATCTAAAATGACAAAGACTTGGGGCATAGAAATGGAGATGCATTTGCTATTTTACATGTTAACTTGTTCGTTCGATAATCGTTCGTTCTTTCACTAATTTTGATTTTGATTTTTATGTACATTGTACTGTTTTTTTTGGAAAAATATAAACTGATTTTTAAATAACTTGTACAATTATAGTTCTTTACCAATATGATAGTTATATTTTGATTTTTCTTAAATAAGCATTACAATTCTATATATTATGGAGTCTGTAATTTATTCAACACTATTAACCATTAAGAGTCTCCCGTACACTTCTATAGATATAATTATCATTTTGACGCGTTCATCTATTGTTTATGATTTCATATCCCGAAAAAGAAGCTAACACAATACATTGATCCCTTCTATAAAGAAGACTATTTATATACTCACAAAGTCATATAAAATTAGAATTGAAGAACAATAAAACATGCATAGAAATCGGACAATTCTGCAATAACTTTCCAAAAAAACAACACTTTCATAGAAATCGGACAGAGTGTTAATTTAATATTTCTATTCACTATGGCTAATTTCCTCTTTGGAAATGAATTTTTGACCTGTCAATTCTTGATGATTTACCTTAAAATCTTTTGTATGTTTCAACTAACTCTTACCTTCCATTTCTTTTATTCAATCTTCATTCTCCATTTTAATTGTATTTTGCCTTGATTGCTTCCATTCTTTAATTTGGAATATTTACTTATATACATCTTTAGGTTTTCTCTTAGATCGATTGTTTATAAGCTATCGAAATCGGAAATACCCATGTTTATCTATAGTTTTCACATTTTCTCCAACTCTGTTATGCATATATATGATTTTCGTTTCAATTCAATTTTTTTTTTTTTTAATGAGCTTTCCTAGCAAGTTGTAATTTTTTTCTGAAATTTGGGGATTTTTTGTTCCTAGCAATGAAATGAGAAGAAAAGCTCTATAAATCACGTACCACGGGAAGGGAACCAAAAAAAAAATGTTTCTATTTTCACTTTGGTAGGAAGATAATCTCTTGTTCGTTGAAGAACTCAAATTAGTCACCCATAGATCACTTCTTATATTATCTTATTCCATATATCGAGCTTGTTCTAAAAGGTTATATCTTCACTACTCTTCTAGGAATCACATGCTTTGCTTCTTGGCCCTATCTTATGCAGCTAAGGTGAAAGTAGAACACCTTCGGGATTCTTCTATGAAGCGATAAAAAGTAGAGATTTTATATTGTTTCTGCTTTGGAGGAAACGAAGGTGGATTTGAAAGGTATATGTACTTTCAAATTTTCTAGCTTCACTAAATTTTGCAAATCACTAAATATTCTTCCATAGCTTTAGCAAGGGGACTTAGGACGTAGTTTAGCAAATCAAATACTCTTTTCACCTTGCAAAAGGGGAAAGGGAGATAAATAAAGAGAGACCAAGGGAATAAACAAGCTGTTGAGGAAAATATATTCGCATCTTCCGTACATCTACTTTCTCATGTTTATTAATTGAGTTTTAAAGAAAAATAGAAAAACAGGAATTTACTTTCAATGTACTTCAAGAAATTTTAGAGGATTCACTTACTTATTCCTTTAAATTTATGCTATGTTTTATTTTTGCTCTGCTTCATTTAAGTGGGAATATTAATAATATACTGTCTTATCAGGCAAAAAACGATAAAAGAAGCTGTGAAAAAACACAGGTTTCAAAGTTGAGGAGTTCCCGAAACAATAAATTGCGATATGTTGGCCCATAATTAAAGTGATCTTTTCCAATCTACCCTCATACTTCAATTAAAAAAAAAAAAAGCATTGTGGATGCTCAAATTCAACTGACTATGAGGTTGTTTTATCCTTTTAGGGCATCTAGTGGGGGTGATAAAACGTTAACAAGTATTCCTTGAGGAAAAAAGTAAAATTTTATCATTGTTGTAACATTTATATTAATATGTTAACATATGTCAATTTTTTTATGAATATCTACCATTTATGTGATTTGAATTTTTCAAATGATGTTCGCTGATCTTTGATGTTTTAATGCATGTTAAATATGAAAAAGTTCATCCGGTATAGCAATAGAAAGCATCGAATTGAAAATATCATGTACAAGAATCCAATACATTCAAAACGCTTTACCTTCAAAATAAGATAACCCGTGCATTGCATGGGTAACAAACTAGTAACTATAAAAAAGTCAATCCATAATTTTTTTCTAGTAAAAGAGATAAGCAGAATGAGAAAGTAACTTAAAGGGATCGGGCTCAGTACAGATCAAACAAGGTACCATGAATAAAGCAAATAGAAATCATGAACAAAAAAATAAAATAAAATAAAAATCTAGAAAGGAAACAGGGTAGAAAAGATGGGAGAGAAAATTAAGTGGTTGTGGGGAGAAGGAAAAATAACGAGAATTACCAGAAACAGAGGCAGAGATTTTACGGAGACTACTTTTGACAAGGCCATTCAGAAAGAGATGGAGACACCAGATCTCTTTGCCGATGAAACGGAAATTATATTATTGAAATAGTATTATGCCCACATTAAAATTCTCATCCTCATTCTTTTATTCATTTTTAACCACACATTTTTCAATAAAATAATATTTTTTATTACATCAATAACTTTTCCTTATTTTTCAACCACACATTCTCCATCAATCTACTATTCCAAAATAATGTGGCTCAAACACACCCTATATTTTCATATAGTTGGTTGATATATGATGTAAATTAAAAGTTGATAGATAAAATTAGTAATGTTAATTGTTCGGTCACATATTTCATTAATTTTTATCAAAATTTGTTAAATAAATAATTTTAATCAATACCAAATAAAGACATAGATATGGAGAGAGTTCTTATACTAGAGAAAAAAAATGATTATAGATATTAATCCCCTATTTAGTACCACTAAAATTCTAATTAAAATTTAAGTCAAACTCAACAATTAATTTTAACCACATATTCTATAAAACTTACAATTTTTCATCTACATATTCCATCAATTTTTATCAAAATCTGATTTTAATCTTTACCAAACAAGGGCTAGTGA